CCTCAACTCAATCCAACCATAACTCGCACCTTTCACTCACTTTTCAACACGATTCAACCACCCAACATCAATAGTTAAAATCCCTTATTCCAACCTCTTAACCCATTGCAAATCACTCACTATCACATTCTACGAACCAGTTTCAAACACATCATCGAACCAAAACCAACAATAGTTGTTACACCATCACGCACCGCGAGTGGTAGCGCCGGATCAGAGAGAACAGAGGAGAAAAAGCTGCGAAACAGATTGAGAAGCTTGAGATAGCCGCGCGAGAGGGAAGTGAGACGAGCCACCGTGAGAAGGACAAAGAAGTTGAAGAAACCGCGCCGCGAGCTCGAGAGAGATGAAAGTTTGGTTCGTTTGACATGTTCATTGCATACTGAGTGAGAGATAAGGTTGTGTTGTATTTTATTTTTATTTTTTATTTTCTTATTATTTTTTATACCATGTGCATGTTTATGGGCTACCAAGCCCATTGGTTTTGGTTTCTTGCACCCTAACGCACCAATTTGTCACCTTTCTTTCTACTTTTTTTTAATATCTTAATTTTCTTCAATTAAAAAAATCTTGAGTTTATTTTAGTGGTGCATATCATATATTCTAAGAATCCGAAAAAACACATCTTTTTAATAATTATTTTAAATATCTTCTTTTCTTATTTATTAAATATTTATTTTTATTAGTTTAAGTGTTAAGTTTTTGTGAATTAATCCTCCTAATTTTAATTGGTGTTTAGACTTTGAATATTTAGGTTTTGATCTTTGATTTTTAATTTTTATAAATTTCTTTGACTCCTAACCTTGTTAAATTGTGACTTTATTCTTTTGTTTAGAAACTTGGTTTTTCCTGTTGGATCTTATGATTTTGATTCTTATCTTAATTTTTCCGTTGCTCATTATTTTGTGCCCATCATTATTCATCTAACTCATGCATTTTTTTGTCATATTATTTCTTTTTTCCTGATTCTATTTCGTGTCTAGTACTTTTATGACTTGTTTTCTCTTGTTGATTCATCTTGATGCTTGTGTATATGTCTTGATTATTCTACTTGTTAGTTTGTGTTCACATGTTCCCTTAGGATCTCCTAGTTCGACTTGATTTTTGATTAAGATTGAAGTATCATAGATTTTAGGTTCTCGATCTTTTGCATGACAACATTAGGTTAACATTTTCCCTTCATCCTCGACTTTAAGACCATCCTTGTATGACAACATTTAGGTTTCAGTCTCCCATCGATTTTCCTTTCTTTTTGCATCCAAAATCTTACCCGCGCCTAATTCCAAAGGAAAGGATTCCTCCTGTTGACTTTATGTCATGTTTAGGATAACTTAGCTTCACTTTACCATCCCCTTGAGACCTTGTTAGAGTCTTTAGCCTTCCCATCCTAGCCTTATGATTAGAGTTGCATAACTCTATATAAGTGTCTTGCTATGGACACTTACCTTCCCTTTTATCATAGCCTTAGGGTTAGAGTTGCCTAACTCTTTGTAGGTATTTTGCCATGGACACGTACCTTCCCTTTTTATCCTAGCTTTAGGATTAGAGTTGTCTAACTCTTTGTAGGTGTCTTGCCATGGACACTTACCTTCCCCTTGGAACCTTGACCACATTCAAGAGTTCTTCACCTTTAGTGAGGGGAACTACGATTGCTCTGATTTCATCTTTGTTAGGATAAGTAGGCACAAGATGCAATGTCTTGGCGAGCATTCTTAGTAAATACCTTAGGTCTTTCCCATAACACCTTTTCCTTAGCAAGCAAACAATAACATAACACAAATACAAACAAGAGGTTCCTGTAGAGTACTACAAATACTTAGGGTGCTAACACCTTCCCTATGTATAACTAACCCCCGGACCTTAGATCTCTTAGCTTTGTTGTTACATAGTGCACTTAGGGCTTTCTTCGATCTTTACCATTTCCTTTGGATAAATCAAAGCTTGGTGGTGAATATTTAAAGATTGTGATTCAATTTAATTCAATAGCTTGATATCCGATTCTCACTGCAACATGCATGAAGAGAAATATTTTATCATAAAGTAAACAAACTTTTATTTGAGAATTAACTTCTTGAAACAATTTGAGAACCACTTCCTGTTGAAGTTTCTATGCCTTAGTAAGAAATTCAATCCCATCATGTTAAAGCTTTTTTCTACAATGTCAAATTCACCACAAATAGTCTCGAGTGTTAGTTTCGTGGTAGACTAATTTCATTTTCTCATGACGATTTTCATGAGTATTTTGGTCTCGAATACAAAGGCATGAAAGTTGATCAGTCGAAGGCTCCAGGTTTTAGGCATGTTGAGTTTGTTGAGTCGATTTCAAAATCTCTATTAAAAAATCCTCTAGATTATGCAAATTTTCACATTAGCCAAATGAAATGCAAAATGTGAATGCTTCACTAGGTGTCTATGAAAATTCTTTATATAGGAAAGCTAAAAATTGGGAAAGAGATGATGATCATGATTTATACTTGATGTGGTTGCTGTTGACTCATAAAGAAGTCAACTAGGTCAAGTTCATCATGAACTAGATACTAATTTGCAAAGAAAATCAGAGGTGTCCTCTTTTATATACATTTTCCATCTAGTTTTTTTTCTTAAGAAGAATAATATCTATTCTACTGAAGACGATACTGCAAAAGCTTCGAAGATTTTTGAAGACACGTTAATTAAGTTGACGAAGTATCACCGAGATGCCAATGATGTTTACTATTATTAGGATGATTTTTGCAGGATTTACAAAGATAAATGTGTAGCTTGAGGCTCCAGAAGGATATGTTTCGTGGAAAGCCACATATGGGTCTGCATATGTTCCTCATTCTCCTATTTTGCCTACCGACACTACTTCAAAGAGTTTTCCTTCGGTATTGAAAGCTTATCTGGACATTTGTGTGGACCAAATTTTAGCTGCCTCTCACGTGAAAAAGACTGTTTGTTCACTCGAATTGAGACTGATGTTGTTGAACCCAAGGAAAGATAATTCAAGCAAGAAGAAACTACAAAAGCAAGGGAAGAAAGGTTGATGCGTTAGTTTACTACAGTATGGGAGACAATCACTGCTCAAAAGTGTTTGGATTTTGACTTTAATTTTGGTGATCTTTCTGCACCTCCAGATCCTTTCCCCTCAAACCCACCATAGATCTTATCATGCATTACATTTTTATTTTCATATCATATAATGAAAATTTAATTTTATTGTTGGATATTGGTATTCTTGTTGTTTTATGGGTTATTGGTTGGTCAGTCTTTTGATGGATTAATTATGGTTTGTTTTTGGCCAATTTATCTTTATTTTGATGATTTATTGTTGTTTATACAGTGATATTGATCTCTAATATCTTTATCTTGCATTTATTTTAAAATTACATTGTATGTGCAATTTGCTCGTATGCGGTTTTCCAATTTAATTAGTTTGCTCATGTATGGCATTTTGAGTGTATTCGCATGTTGTTATGGCTTCACCTGTGTGTATTTTTTTATTTTTTATTTTTGTTTTTCTCTTTCGATATTTGTCAAAGGGGAAGAAGTTTACAAGATATTATCTTCGTATTTACGCCCATAATGTGTTTAATACAGTGGGAGCTTGAAAACTCAATAGATGAGTTTCAAAGGTCTCAAAGAGTTACACATAATTTTGTTATATGGTGATCAATAACCGAAAATCAAATTGCTCAATCAAATAAACTTCTCAAATCAAATAATATATCAAGTTTGTCAAACATAAAAAAAGGAAGACTGAAATTGCATTAAGTATCATCTTATACTTTGATATTCTGTTAAATTTGACCCGCGTGTAATTTGATTTATTGTTATTGTAATTTTTGTGCAATTTTGCATTATTTTTTTATTTAATTAGATTTTACCATAGGATACCCCCACATTCAATGAATTAGTGTTGAACTCATGACAATGTGTTTTTTTAACCTTCGTATTTATAATATATATAACAAATTTTGATTATAACAAAAATAACATAAATACCCCTAAAACAAACAGCACAAGAACATAAATACGCCTAAAACAACAACACAAACAACAAATAAAAAAGATTTAGCACTACATCATGTCTAAGAGATTCTAACAATCAAAACAATATCATCTGATGGAGACATCATATCCCTAACATCATTGTCATCTTTAACTCACACTCACATACGTTCCATAACATTATTGTCATCTACAAGTGAGATGTACGAAACAAGCCTCTCGATACTTCTAATTCTTCCCCCCATCATTAATCTCTCAGTCTAACCAACTTTTCAAATTCCTTTTAAGATGCTCGAAACTTTAGATATTCCAAAAAATGCATTTTCATCCGAGGTTTTGTTGGCGAATAACATACATGACCTTCTATTTTAACAATCATGATAGAGTTAGTGAAGAAAAGAAAAGAAGAACAAGAAAAAATGTGTAGAGTTAATGGTAGAAAACACCTTTATCTATACTAAAAAAACATAACACACGCTGGCGCCAAATGAATTGACGCCACTATTAAAAGCATGCACACTAGCGCCAATTGGGTTGACAACATCACATCAATTCAATTGACGTCACACTTTAAATTTAGGTGCAGTCGCCAATTCGTCTGACGTCACCACTATATTTGAATTTTTTTTTGTTTGAAAGTGAATTAATTTGAAAAAATATGAAAAAAATAAGATTTTAAAAATATTTTTGAAAGGTAAAAAAATTATTGTTTCCAGGATATGTAGATCTTAAATTAAATTAAATAAGATTATAAATGAATTTTTTTTGGTCAAGAAGATTATAAATGAATTCTAGTTGTTAATGTATCTAAAAATAGTTTATTTTTTCTTAATAGAACTAATAGAAAGAAAAAAGTACACTAAAGAAACATTTCTTGTAAGAAAATAGATACTAGTAATTTACATCGGCCAAATTAGTTTTTGTTTAATAAGCTAAATTAAGCTGAGAGGAAAAGCAATATAGTGAGTGAGAGAAGCTGATCGAGTTTGTTGCGTCGCCAAGAGTGAAAAATGTCACACAGCGACACCATCCCCCTCCACGCATCTTCCCAATCTGACATCGACGAGATCGAGAATCTCATCTATGCTTCTCCGGCCACCGTTCTTCCGGCAAGACCTCCAAGTCCACCGCGCGCTTCAATTCCCGTTTCATCCTCTTCTCCTTTCATCAATTCCAATCTCCCTAATCCCGCTCCTCCCAAATCCTCTTACCAACCTCAAATTCCAAAACCCCCTTCTTCGTCTTCTTTACCTCCGCCTCCACCTCCTTCTACACGTCCTGACATCTCTAATTCTGGATTCGGACCTGCTCCGAACACACTTACCGAACCGGTTTGGGATACGATCAAGAGAGATCTGTCGCGGATCGTTAGTAATTTGAAGCTTGTTGTGTTTCCTAACCCTAATCGGGAAGATCCGGGTAAGGCGTTGCGTGATTGGGATCTATGGGGACCGTTCTTTTTCATTGTGTTCCTTGGTCTCATTCTTTCTTGGTCTGCATCTGTCAAAAAGGTATTTCACTCTTTCTTTTGTTAATTTGAAGTTGTTGTGTTTGATTCAATTCAGATCAAGAATTACATTATGCTTTTGTTTATATAGATTTATCTGTTGAGGATGTACATATGGAAGCTTGTTAGAGTAATTGATTTGGATCTTGAAGATCAGTGATTGTTAATGTGTGTTAGAATCACTTTTAGAATGGATCTTGTTTTTCTCATCATCCCTTGTTAGAAGAGAATTCATTGTATGTTTATGGATGGAAACAGAAAATGAAGAGAGTTTATCTAAATTTGGTTGCTGGTTCTGATGCAAATTAGTTTCTGCACTACTAGGGAATTGGATGATGGTTTTATCCCTCTCATAATATAGTAAACCGTTCCATTCTGATTCAGTCTTTTAGTGTGGACTATATTAGTCAGTGAGATGTGAGACAAAATAATTGTCTGATTCAGTCTTTTAGTGTGGACTATGTTAGTCGGTGAGATGTGAGACAATGATAGTGTGGGCTATATTGACTTGAATCTAGATACATTCTTATATGGACAGAGTGGATCAGTTCAGTGTTATTAAATAGTGGAAATAGCGGATCACCAAAAAACCGATATGAGAAATATTGAATAGCTTAGTAGGAAAATAGTGGACGCCGCAAAGCGGTTAAAATAAATAATTAAAAAACGTTAAAAATAGAATGTGAATGATGAGTCAATGTGGGTTATATATATAACCCACACCGACTCATCGGCACTCCACCTATTCACATTCTATTTTTTTTAATGTTTCTTAATGAGTCCACCATTTATTATAAAAAAAATAATAGCAATAATATTGGTCCACCGCTAAAATATGTTCCAACATTAACCAATTCTGATAACAATACATAGCGGCTATATCGGAAAAAGTGCTGCTATTTTGAGCGTAGCAGAATCGAAATGCAATACTGGATTTTGTATCGGATAGCCAAAATTCCAATATGCAATACTGGTATACCGGTGCTATACTGGATATTTAACAACATTGGATCGGTTAATTGTTGCATTAAACCAATGATCATATGTATTTTGGGTCTATTCGTTTGGCCCCAGCAACTGGTAGAGCTGATATATAGAACTGTGTCTGTTCAAGAGATTTCCCTAATTGTAACCCGTTAATAGTCTTTATATTGTTTAATTATATTTATTTTTTCCCAACTCTTATCAAGTTGAATTTCTTTCTGGGATTCTCTTCAATTTATGGTTTGGCATGTGCTTCTTCACATATTATAGATTCATTCACTTTCTCTGTGTGAATTTGAACCAAAGGGATTGGAACATACAGTTTTTAAAAATTTGAAGTAAATAATCTGTTAGCCTTGTTATTTATTTATTTATTTTAAATTGTCTGCATATATATTTATTTTAGTTTAGATTGCATTTTGAAAGAAAGACAACATTGGTGGTTTGTTTACTGTTTTTCTATAAATTTTTCAAAGGTATGCTTTGATATGCATCTTGTTCTCTCTTGCAAAGATATAACTGGGATCTCATCTCATTACCTAGAAGTTCATGTCATTTGTTTTCTGGATTGGCAAAAACAATCATCTACAACTAATCAGGGTTAGCAATGTTGTCAAATCAAATAGCGGCTCTATATCATATGCATAGTGATTTTTTGATGAATTCACAATATTATCCTAGCTTTTATATCAGGGCAATAGAGGTCGCTATTCCAAGTTTCTGCTAGCTGATGCAGCGGCAATAGTATGTAAAGATGATTTTAGGGTTTTTAAAATAGTAATACGGAAGAGCCGGTTTGTGTGCCAAGTAAGATCTATTTTTTAATAGAAAAAATGTATAGCATTAGCCAATAGCAAGTTAGTTTTACTCCTATATTCATCAAAATTCGTAAATATGTAAGCTAAGCACCTGCATTCCTTTTATTTATTTATTTGTATACATCATGCTTATCTTGCTAATATAGAATTAACTTATTTCAATCTCGCTCTCCAGTTTCACATAGAGGATATTTGGCGTTCCTCAATACACTATCAAATTGATAACACTGAGTTTTGTTATAATACTAAAAAAAATCATAAGCATTCTCTACAAAATCACTCTCAAATAAGGGTGAAGATTTCTATCTCTTTCTCTCACTTGCCCTCCCCCCAAATCCTTCCCCCTCCCTCCCCTCTAAACTTCCAATTAGAGCCTAAAGCTATTGATAACACATTGGCTGTGAGAGATGTACGCATGAGCCAGGGATGACTTTTGACTATAAAAGTCCGAAGTATCAAACTACCAATAGACTTGCTATTTCCAAAGTCCAGCTGACTATCTTAGGGTACTATGAGTTCAGTATGGTTAAGCACTCACGATGCTGGAGGTATCAATTGCACAGTTTATCTATCAATGGAATATTTTTCTTCTCCATGAGTCAGCTTGTATATAGACTTATTTTCCCTTTATCCTTTCTGCTGGGACCATGCAAACGTAACTATCAACTAGGAATCTATAAGTTTGTTGAGTGGGATGATATAGTGATCAGTTCGTGGAGCCAATGGAGTAAAATAATTTTACCAATTTTCACTCCTGTATTGCTCTTGTATTAATATTTTACAGAACATACTTCGAAAGTTAATTTTTCTTGAGGGTTTCAAATTATAAGTTTGCATCTTATTCTTTTATGCTATGTTCTGCTCATTTTTGTAGCTCGAAACTATTTATTTCTGTCTTATTTGCATAACCTGTCAAATGAATTTGTCAGTTGTAGACATATTCCTTCTAATGTTTTCTTTTTATCGTCTCAGTCTGAGGTGTTTGCAGTTGCGTTTGCGTTACTTGCTGCTGGCGCTGTAATTTTGACATTGAATGTTCTGCTTCTGGTAATATAGCCTTTTTCATCTTGTTATTTTATGTGCATCAACTTTAAATAATTTTTCAATGTCATTTGTTGTTGACGCATAGTAAAATATCATTTTTTATGTATGAAAATGATTAAAAGAAGGTTTAGTTGTAGAATGACGTAGCATATTTGTCTTCATCTCTTCTATATTTCAGGGTGGACACATTATTTTCTTCCAGAGTCTGAGTCTGCTGGGTTATTGCTTATTCCCTCTAGATATTGGCGCATTAATTTGTATGTTGAAGAACAATGTTATATTGAAAATGGTAGTGGTATGTGTGACTTTAGCGTGGAGCTCTTGGGCCGCATATCCTTTCATGAGTTCTGCAGTGAATCCCAGGAGAAAAGCTCTTGCTCTATACCCAGTTTTTCTCATGTATGTATCTGTTGGTTTTCTCATCATTGCTATTGACTAAATGCATCAATGTTTCAGATAACTACTTGGAATTCCCTTCTAAATAGGAATTTTTGCTTAATGATCAACCCTTTTTATTCTTTGTTGCCCTTCTTTTGTACTTGCTATCTTTTTTTTTTCTTTTGATATATTTGGTAGATATAGTATTTGGAGACATACGGTTGTATAATATTACATGGAATATATGATGGAATCAAAGTTGCTGCAAGCCATGTCTCTTTAAACTTCGGTTTCGCTTTAGTATGTGAATATGAAATCTGGTAGAATGAAGGAGAAGGATATATATATATATATATATATATATATATATATATATATATATATATATATATATATATATATATATATACCCACTTGTTTTTATGAAGGTCTATTTTAGCAACATGCACCTTAGGGTGCATTTAATTTTTTTTAGTTAAAGTTTGGTAAAACACACTTTCATAAAAACAAATGGCTGTATTGTAACAATTTTCGGTCGGATTTGTTATAATACATCTATTTATTTTTATGAAAATGAGTTTTAGTAGCATGAATTTTAAGGTGTGTTTAATGATTATATATATATATATATATATATATATATATATATATATATATATATATATAGATATATATATATATATAGATAGATAGATAGATAGATAGATAATGTCCATTCATAATAAAGAGAAAATGAAAATGTTCAAGAAAAGTTTTTTAGAGTGAGTTGCATGTTGCCAGCCCTCAATTTATATTTGTGGTTAATGTTAACACGTTCTCTAAAGGGACACGTTAAAAAACTTTAAAATAGAAATTTTATGTTGGAAAAAACAATAGAGAAGTTAATTATCAACTTTTAATTAAAATAATGTATAATTTTTAAGAAAAAGTTTGTACATATAACTTTAACTTGTGTTTTTAAGTTACATGTTAGTATTATCCTATATTTGCATGTGAAGTCTTGAGCATAATTATACGATATAGGTTTGAGTTGTAATTTTATGAGAAAAAAATGAGAAAATGCGAGGAATCTGAAGCTTGATTGTCTGATTTTTAAGGATATATTTGAAAGTTGATTGATTTTTGGAGGATTGTGTCTATGTGTTTGATATTTTTAAAAAAATTTAAAAATAATATGATTTTATATGTTAATATAGTATATTGTTTTAAAATTTTTTTTAATATCAAATATATTTTAAAATATAGACGTAACTCTACAAAATCTTTTAAAAACCAACTCTTATAATCGGTTCAATAGTTGATTTTTTAAGAGTTTTGGAGAAAAATAGTTTGCTTTCATAATCTGTTTAATAGTTGATTTTTTAAGAGTTTTGGCGAAAAATACTTTGCAAGGTTCGGTTTATATTTTGAAATTTGTTGGATATTTTAAAAAAAGTTTTATGTATTATATTGTTTTTAATTTTTTTTAAAAATGTTTTAGTATATTTCAAAATATAGACACAATCTTTCAAATATTTCCTTCTCTAAAATCCTTCAAAAACCAACCTTCAATTTCAAGAAGATTTTTCGTTTCAATCTAATATTTCTTCTAACTCAGGGAAATATTTAATTTAAGCCAAATATTTAATTAAGAAATTGATTATTACACACCCTATGTATTTATATTTTTAATAGAATCTATAAAACCTTCTTGGAAGTTATTTTCTAGACAAACTCATTTGTCAGATTGAGATTAAATGAATAAATAAAGAGTAATAATGAATACATTCATAAGCATTTTGATACACTTCTTTGACATTTATAATGCTGGTCAAATGAACAAGGGAAAAGATAGTTTGACACCAATTATCACACCTACACCGTATTACTATACCTAAAATCAATTTATTTTATTTTTTTAATAATTTTTTCTTACTTTAATTTTTGTGCAGCCACGTTCTGCCTTTTTGTTTTATACGGTGTCTGAAAAAAGAGTGTCAAAATATCATAGCTCAATAAACAATAATGTAACGATTATACATGAAAGTTGACTTTTAGACAAATATTTTTCAAAGTCAATATTTTTTGAATTTTCATAGAATACGTAAAAATTCAGATTATTATTCATTATTACACCAGATGCCTTACTCACACGCCCTAACAAAATTTTAAAAATATTTTAGCTTAAATGCAGTTTTGGTCTCTCTTTTTTCATTTTTATAAACTATAATCCCCCTTAAAAAAATCAGGTTTTAAGTCCCTTGTTCTAAATTTTCTTGGGATTTGTTTGACCCTCTGTTTAGAATTGTCTATGTGTTCAGCAATGAGGTGACAAATGAAATGTTCACCCAAGGTGGAATAAAAGTGCCACGTCATTTAAAAACATTTTATATTTTATTTATATTCAAAATTTTAGAAAATAATTAAAATAAAACAATATTTAATCATTCCTCAAACTTGATTCAGTTCATTCCCCAAACTTTCCCCCCCAATTACACAAGAACCCTAGCCCAGAAATTGTGAAGAACCCTAATTCTAATTCACCCCAACCCTCTATTTCAGTATACTTAATTGTTATTTGTAACCACCCTTCATCACGATTCAGAAGCAGCAATTGACAAAATTCCTTCAGTAACAGAGAAAAGTAACGAAAATGAGAAGTTCTGTCTCAGGCATGTATTATTCTATCATCCACGATAGAAACATCATTGTCTGAATGTTGTTTTTGTTTTAGGGTTTGTGTTCCTTTGTACGTGATGGTCTCATTTTGTTTTAGGGTTTGTGTTCCTTTGTCGTTTAGGGCTTGTGGTCCCGTAGTGTTTTAAGGTTTATAAAGTATTTCTTGTAGTCCCATTGTCTGTATTTCTCAATCTAACTTGTATTAATTATCTATTCTAGGCCATCATTGTCTCAAAAAATTAGGTTTAGAATTCATCATAGAGGCTACTTTGTGGACACCCTTGTGAAATTGTATGTTGTTGGGCTAATTTCAGAAATGAATTGGAAATGGAATGTCGACTATCTGTCGTATTTCAAATTGTTGGAATTGATTAAAAAAGAGGGATATAGAGACATTAGGTGTATTTGGTGTTGGAACCCTAGGTTTATTTTTAGTCACGATCTTCAAACACTTAACTATGATGATGATGTGTTGCAACTAATTAAAGATGTTAATGGCTGTGAGGTAATCGATTTGTATGTTGAGCATAACATTAGTGAACCTAACATTGTAGATGAGGCAGAAATAGGGCATGACATAAATTCTGATGATGAAGTTCAATGTACTGGTGTGAAATTTGCAGATAATGAAGTGGAAGTAGAAGTGGACAATGATGCTGAAGTTGAAGTAGAATATGACAATGATGCTGAAGTAGTTGATGATGCTGAAGTAGGTGATGATGCTGAAGTAGGTGATGGTAAGGATAGTGAACCTGAGTTGGATTGGAAAACTGTAATGCCAACTGAAACAACTAAACCACATGGCAATGACTTTCACCATGAATATGGTGAAGATTCGGACCAATTATAGACACCACATGGGAGTGAAGATGATGAAGAGTATGAGAGATTTCTATTCTATAAGGTTGGTAAGGGAACAAAGTTTCAATTAGGCATGACATTTAATAGCGAGGAATTGGTAAAGGATGCTATAAAGGAGTATGCTTTGGTGGAAAAAAGAATGTATACCTAAAGAAGAATGATGGAAAGAGGATGGTTGTTAGGTGTATTGATGAATGCAAGTTCTACATGAGAATTGGTAAAAGGGTTGGTAACCAATATTGGAAAGTGGTGAGTTTATATGATGAACATAATTGTCATAGAACAATCCAAAATAGACATGCAAAGACTGAATGGTTGGGCAAGCAATTTAGCCATATACTAAGGCATACTCATGACATAAAGCCAGATGGACTAGTTGCTTTGTCATTTGATAAGTGGGGTGTCAAACTATCATCTGACCAGGCTTATAGATCTTAGAGAAGAGCAATGGATACTATTCAAGGAGCATGAAGTGAGCAGTTCACACATCTAAGAGCATATGCTAATGAGTTACTTAAGTCCAACCCTAATAACAACATTGTGTTGCAATGCTTAAACTCTAGTGATGTATTGGATTTTGAGAGAATATACATTTGTCTAGAGGCATTTAAGGCTGTTTTTGCTTGTTATTATAGACCATTTACTGGACTTGATGCATGTTTTTTAAAAGAGACTATGGTTGGCAGTTGATGGCAACTGTAGGCAGGGATGAAAGTAACCAGATATTTCCCATTGCATATGCTGTTATAGAGGCAGAAACAAAGGACTCTTAGGAGTGGTTTTTAAATCTCTTACTTGAATACTTGCAAGGCATAAATCAAAGGGAATACTTTCATTTTAGATCAGAAAAAGGTAGAACACTATTGTCTTAAATGCTTTTCCTACTTATGCTTATATTTCTTGTATAAAAATAACTTTAACTATGTTACTTATATTTGACAAGGTCTTGTCCTAGCTGTTCAAGGCTTGAGTGAGCATGTGAAACAACGCTGTTGCACCCTAAAATTTGCTCAACCTATCTCACCTGATTTATGTTTTAATTGCATTGTCATTTGCATAGTAAATCATGTACATAATCTAATCCTTTGCATAGCATAACATAGCAAGTCACCTAACAGGGGATCAAGTGCCATTCTTATCTAAAGAAGCACATCAAGGGTTTTTATTCAAGTATAAGGCCATTCAAGTCATCAAAGAAAGGCTTGAAGCTTTGAGAAGTTTGAGGGTCAACTAGTGGATTTCTCTCCTAATTTGAGGTGTATTGAGGTTTATCAATGGGGGGATGAGCTGTGAATTAAGGATAGGGAATGTGTATAAGGCTTATGAGATGCCTAGAGGGTCATATTGAAGATGATACAAGTCATTGATTCAAGTACAAGAGCCATAGTTGAAGTGCAGTCAATTAGGGTTTCATCTGGGTCAACCCTAGGTCAACTGAGTGATTGAAGAGTATCAAGGCCAGCTTGGAGGTTGTGGAATTCATGAATTGATATGAGGATATATGTGTGGTGTTGTGCCAAGGAGAAATCAAAAGGAATCAAG